TGTGCACATGTAGAAACCATCCATTTATTATTATTGGAAATATATACATTTGTGGTATCTCTCTATTATATAAACATAATATAAACATGCAGAGAGCAATTACCTTCATACATTTATCTGTATGAAGTTAATCACAGGTAATAGGTCAATTTGTGACCTAATCACACGGTGCAACAATATTAAATATAAAATTACTTCCTCTACTTGCTTTTCAAGTATAAAATATGAACCAAATAAGCAAATAAAATACTAATTGTTTTATTGTTTAAGGATATCCGATCTTCAGCCAGGAAGGATAACTCTTTAATTTATAATTTAATTCAAAAGTCTTAAAGCAAAGCTTGAAGTTGAAATTTTTTCATGCAACAATTTTCATTTTATGCCTCTAAGTATGATTCAATGTTCTTTAAAATTTTAACAAACGGTTTTTAAAAAGTTGACATTTGTACCTCATAAAACTAGGTATAACTAGAGATAACTAACTCGTTATAACGAGATAACTAAGTCGTTATAACGAGATGACTAACTCGTTATAACGAGATAACTAAGTCGTTATAACGAGATAATTAATTCGTTATAACGAGATAACTAAGTCGTTATAACGAGATAACTAACTCGTTATAACGAATTAAATATTTTTTTTTCTTTTCAAAAATGAGCCTATCCGGCTTTCGTAAAACTAGGTAAAACCTGCATATTAAAAAAAAATCAAAGTTCTTTTAATTAAGCCTTAGTTACCAATGTTTATAAACATGATTTGAAATTAGTAGTGATTTACGGTGTTTTCTTTGAAAGGAAACACTTCGTACACTATGCATTATGAAACGAAAGAAGTAAGTTGTAGAAAGTAAAGTACCGAATTAGTATAAAAATCATGCAATTTTCTTTAAAAGCCTAGATACCTATGATTTTTATTCCTAAAATGCATTTCTTGATCAATTATCAATTAAAAAATATGCAGTAGGTAGTTCTAATCGCATTTCCTGAAAAATTATTTGAGATTTACTAATTTTTCCTATATAACATGATTAAATTTAAAGATGAAGTTTAAAGAAACACCGTGGGTAAATACATTTTACTTTGAGAATTTAGAGACATCTTTGTAAGCATTTTCAATTACTCAATGCCTGATTTTCAGAACCTGAGGATCGGATAACCTTAACAGTGTAAACAAGTATCAAATACAGTTTTGAGGCGATCGATTTAACATGCAGGCGCGGATCCAGGAATTGAAGTTAGAGGGGGCGCCAAAAGTAGGCAAGGGGTCTGGGGGCCGCCTTGAGGCCCCAAGTGGGTCCAGAGCAAAGCCCTGTGGGGGGGGGGGGGGCAGGGTGCGAAGCCCCCGGAAGCTCCTGGATTCTAGAGATTTTGTAGGGTAAAATGAGGTCTACCAAGTGTACATATTTACATTTTCTAGACGAAAGTGTGATTTACATGTACGTTAATTTTGACAATTTTAGGGGGGGGGGGAGGCGCCGGGTGCGCCCCCCGTTAAATCCGCCACTGACATGTATACATAGAGAATACTATTAGGCCTATACCGATAGAAATTAGGCTTGCCTTTGTTTATGTCATTTTGTCAGCTGCACAGTCTTTAAAGCCTGTCCTTATTTTTTGGTAGACCTTTAATTCTACTCACGATCAATGTGTAAATCTGTTTGAAAATATAAAAGCATCACAATCACGCCACGAACAGCTGACGCCGTTTACAAAACACAGACAGGTCACGGAATCACGGATGCACGGAAAAAAAGAAAATAGTACAAATCACGGATTGTTTTTTGCACGGATGATACATCCGTCCGTGCAGCTCCGTACATTAAAAAAATCAACATGAATAATCCGAGAGATCTATAAATAAAAATAAAACATGAGAAGTAATATTCAGGGAATTTATTTATCGGGAGAAAATGTTACAATTTTTAATAACAAAGATTTATATAATAAAACTTATGAACTCTTACAATCCATACATTTGATGGTTTTTAGACTTTCTAATTTGTTTCTCACTAAGTGTTGTATTTTGACATCGTGGATGAAACCACTGGCGGCACTCAGTGCAATTAATTATGAATCCATGTTTAGGCATTCTGCACGTGCAGAACAACTTCATATCAAAATTTAATGTAACAGCTGTGTAAACTCTATTGACTGTAGGCGTTTACACGGAGATGACGGAAATTTACGGAAAATTCTGTCAGTGATACATTTCATCAAATGGGGCCTCATTGCTTCAGTATGGAAATGAGTATTTTCTGGAAGTCCACCGAAACATATCTCTACTGCGTTTGCAATGTCATGGAGACCACAGTCGTTGCCATTTTTCTGGACATCAGAATTCATATGTTTTCCTCTGGAGAATGCATTATATTAGCAATGCTCATTTGAGCGTTGTCGTAGTATTTGCATAATAAATAGGCCTATGGATACCTTTAGTTACTGAAATCGTAGATTGAATGTTTTTGTTCAAATTTAATACTTGTGTTACGGGAGAGGAGAAAATGCAGCGGACCAGACCGAGATTCGAACCCGGGCCCACTGAAACTCCTGTCAGGTGCTCTACCAACTGATCTATCAGCTATCTGGCCACCGGCGATCGAACCCGTCGACCCCCACACTTGATTGCAAGTAAACTAGCTCGGACAAGTTTCTCCATCCATCGGATCCATCCATTCCTTCCAGCGACCGAAATTCCTCCAACTTTAACTTTTTATCATCAATCTTCGGACGTATTTCATGTGTCTTCTCAGCATTGATTATCAATTTTACAAATACAAATATTCTTAGACAACAATCTATTCAATGTTACTGATCACAAGTATCCTTTCACAAAATATTCCCTTCGAAATAGAATCCTTAGCCTGATGAATTCAAAGCGTAACCGCCTTTCAAGTCGATTTACACCTTGCGTCATTTTTAGAAAATCTACGACGAACGGTTAGTACAATAATTTATATTCGAAATTATTCAATTGTCTGTCTCAAATATATAGATAAGTAATAAATAAAAGTTTAAAAAATTCAATTGGAATTGAAGTGGGTCGGAACGTGATAAACTCCTCCGAGAAGGCCTTCGGCCTTCACAAGATTTGATCATGTGACCGACCTTCTTCAATTCTAATTGAAATTTTCAAACTTGTTATTTATTTCTTAAATATAAATACATATGTGTATTTAACTGATTTTAAATACATGTAGCCAATGAAATCAATATATTATAACATCCGATCTAATGTAAGTATTAGCATATGTTTAGTTTCCTTTTGTTTCAGCTGCGTTGACCTCGACGCAAAATGTATCGACTAAAGAATTTTCAAAAGTTAGTGTCAAAGCCACAATAAAATTTCAAACAATGGAGTACCTTTTTATTGTTTTTTTGTTTTCTCTCATCTTTTCTTTAAATGTAAAACCTTGGAAGAGTAAGCATGTACAGTATTCAAATGTAACAATCAAATTTCCAGAAATCGTAATTTTTCAGTACCTTTAAATAAGAGAAAACTAAAGCATTTTTATGAAACACTGGTCTAAAATATTCATGTAATATTCATTATGAAATATTCCAAAATTTTTAAATTAATAAACTTCCAGTGTGTACTTGATCCTCTATCGATATTTACGCAACCATCCTTTCTGGGAATACACTTTACTCCTGCAACTGTCCTAGTATTCTAAACACAATTAAAAGGTAGTATTCAGTCTCTACATTTGGATGTTTTTTTCATATGATTTTTATATTATAGATCGGACACAAAATCCAAGTAAGATTCATATCCCGTTCTTTTTTTGGTTAACTTGAAAAAAAAAAACTATTTTAGAAACGATTTCATTGACGTTACGCACAGTGTTGGTGTCTTTTTACAACTTTAGTGACTGGCATATTAAACCCGTCGGTGATTAAAAAAAAAAAAACACGCGCAATATTGGTGATTTTAGTTTGAATGGATAGGTTATGAATAGAATTTCCCGACTCCGGTCAGAAAATAAAGTTTAACTAGATTTTATGGGACAAAAATAGATTTTTACAGCGTAAATAAGTGGTATATTTATCTTACATTTTTAAACAGGGATCGCGCATTTTTCTTGTGTAGAATGTTCAAATGAATCTAGAAATTTCATTTTCCTCACAGAACAAGAACATTTAATTTTGTTTAAGACTTTATTGCTTTACAGAAGAAAAAAATCTGTAACGCTAAATTAATTTAAAACGTGCATATGGATTTAAGCAATAAACTTACTCTTTTACAACAAAGTTTAAATCGAAATTAATTGTATTGAAAAATGTGCCTTTCTTATATATTTGAAATATTTTATTAATTTTGATATCAGACTGCACGCTTTGTAGCCAATGGATAGATTACAAGTTCAGCAAAAATGTCCAGCGTGTAAAATTATACGTGCAAAAATGATCATGTCGTTTTTCGTGAAGTTTAATTCTATTTTTTTTCCTCAAATTTTTATCCGATGGACGTTCTTTAAGCGTATTTAGTTTTGCATAACGTAATGCTATAGTAATGTGCTAAAGAAGGCTTTGAAAAATAACGAACTTTATCAGATACAAAACGAAAGCTTCTTTTTTGTAGATAAATGTGTATAAGGTTATTTTTCAGGTAAATTCTATATTTTTATTACCCATTTAAATTTGATATAGCAATGGGGTACCAATCAAGCCAGTAACACTGTAACACTGTAGAAGCGTCACGTTAAAAGTAACGTCAAATGTCACCGACATCGCGTGTAACGTCATTATAATTGCTATAATAGCAATATAAATATGCAGTGAATTTCTAAAACCCAATTCCTTGAAGAGACCGCGAAACCAAGGGAAAATTTTGACAGATCAAAAGTTAAACTCTCATAAAAAAAATCGTTCAAAGGAGTTATTTTTGATGTAATATAACGAAATGAAGTAATAAATGTATGCAGATATACTTTTAATTTTGTATTAAAATCCTCTTTTAACATTTTGACACACTTGACTTATTTTCTGATTAATTTTTATTCAGTTGCCCATTTTTCTGATCGCGTGAAGTGCATCCACCATTCTGATTGTACCAGCCACAAATGTTCCACTGACAAACCCACTCCGTACTGCAAGCACGATCATGTTCTTTTAATTTTTGGAGCCCACTGTGACTGTACGGGTAAGATTCAGTATACTGGATTAACGTGCGTGTTATGTATAATGTACATTATTTCTATATAAATAAAATAGTATTATTTGATATCACATTGAATTTTCAGTTCAACATATACAAATTCTAAATATTTCATTAACTTTAACAAGTACATGCATATACATGTACTAATCACATGAATAATCATTAAAAAAACAAACAACATTACAATATTAATAACACAAAAAATGATTGACATGTTTTATTTATCAAATTCATGATTTCCTTTTTGAAATCAAAAATTTGGTAAGGTAAATGAGATATGAAGAAAAGTAGGTATGAGAGAAATAAGGTGGGTGTGAGATGCAGAATGTAGATAGAGAAATTGGAGGAATGGAAGAAGGAGAGGAAAAGGTGAAAATTTGGGAAATTATAAAGAGAAAAATGAGGGTGAGAAAATATATTGACCGGGGAAATTAAGAGTATCGGCTAATAGGAAAAGATTTTCCTATCCACATCTCATAAATGATCAACTAAGTAATCATTCATATATACTTTCAGCTGATATGTACTTTTAGTAAAAATAAACTACAGTGTATTACAGAGTGTGTTGAAGATAGAGATTGTCACTGCCCAGCTGGAACAACACCACACTGTGACCAGCACCTCCTTTCCCACAACTTTAGGACTTGTCAATGTAATCCAACGATAAGTAAGTAAAACATATAGGTAATAATTATATACACTGTAACGTGTTGTAGGTATCACATAAACATTTTTTTTCCATTATATGTATGAGTATATTTCATTTTTTATTCAGCCTTTTGAAGATACATATCTACGAAAGCCAATCTAGATCAATCTAGAGAGAAAAAAAATTAAAAGGCGTTATAACGCCTTTCGAAAAGGCGTAATAACGCGAAAATAGGCGCTATTACGCCTTTCCATTCCAAAAGGCGTTATTACGCCTTTTTAAAAGGCGTTATTACGCCTTTCCATTCTAAAAGGCGTTATCATGCCTTTCGTACATGTATAGGCGTTATTACGCCTTTTTAAAAGGCGTTATTACGCCTTTTAAAAAAGGCCTTTTAAACGCCTTTTTAAAAAAGCCGTCATAACGCCTTTCTAAAAGGCGTTATTACGCCTTTTTAAAAGGCGTTATAACGCCTTTCAAAAAGGCGTTATAACGCCTTTATAAAAGACGTTATTACGCCTTTCCAAAAGGCGCAAATACGTCTTAATTTTGAATACATGACTACACATATTTAGCCCAACCGAGGGGGGGGGGTGTTGTGGGGGTGTGTGCAGAAATCTTACCTTTGGGACATGAATTTCACAATTTGATATAGGACTAATTTCTCAAAAAATGATTTAAACAGATAACAATTAGATTTCCAGGAAAAAAAGATTTTTAAATGCGTCATATATTTTAAATGTTGAACCAACTAAGTCCTTAAATACTAGACACACCTCTTTCAAGGATCATTGATTTCAATTGCTCTTTATACCTATGCAAATAGTTTGCCTGCTTTTTCCAAGAAGAGAGAAAAATATCTTCAAATGAAATGAATTTTAATACATGGCAAGCAAAGCTCCAAGATACATCTGCCTATATCGTATCTTCACAAGTAGAGTGTTGTCTTCTCTTAATACGAATGCAAACAGTTGTCAGTGAGATGTGCAGGAATATAGAGAATTGCATAAATAAAGATGGTTTTAATTAAATCTTTCATATATTTATTAACATAAAATAACGCCTTTCCATTTTCCTTTTCAAGTAGGCCAGTAGTACGAGTGCGAATGGGGTAACCCCCTCCCCCCTCTTCACATACACACTTTTGGGGGAAAGTCTTTAGTGCTACAGTTTAGATATTATAATTAACTATTGGGTGCTTGGTTCCTGAACATTTTGTTGCAGTGTGTAAAACTATGGCAAATTATTGCATTTAAACAAAGTTTTACCGAGAAGTCCCCCAACGATTTTGGCCTGTAGAGTGGGGGTGGTGGCGGTGGTTGGGGGGGGGGGGGTGTGTGTTAAAAGCACGGGCCTGTTAAATGCAAAATAATGGTTCTTCAAAAAGCGTTATAACCCTTTTGGAAAGGCGTAATAATGCCTTTTTAAAAGGCAAAATAACATTTTTTATAAAGGCGTAATAACACCTTTTGGAAAGGCGTAATAACGCGTTTTAGAAAGGTGTAATAACGCGTTTTATAAAGGTGTAATAACGCCTTTTGGAAGGCGTAATAACGCCTTTTAGAATAGAAAGGCGTAATAACGCCTTTTAAAAGGCGTAATAACACCTTTTGGAATGGAAAGACGTAATAACGCCTTTTCAAAAGGCGTTATAACGCCTTATTTTGCGTTTTTATTCTTTTGGAAAGGCGTTATAACGCCTTGCATTTTTTTTCTCTCTAGATTGATCCTAATAGGCTTTCGTACATATCAGTGTAATAAATACGAACGTTTGATAACTTTCAAACATCTATTTTTATTCACGACTTGGGATCTATAACTGTGTATCTAAACATATTTTACCAACTGCAAGAACAAAAGGTCGACTTTTTCCATACGGAGAACTAAGACCTTTCAGTCGATGTCTTTCAGCAACATTTCAGTGACATTTCAGTCACTGAATGGCAGGTACATTTCAGTAGCTATTTAATCAACTTTCAGTGACCATTCCTTCAACCTTTCAATTACCCTTCAGTCGTCTTTCAGCAACCATTCAGCCAACATCCAGTGACTTTCTACAACCACGTTTCTCTAACACAACTGCAAAAACCAAACGTTTTACAATAGCTTAAATATATACCTAGTAATAAAAATATTAAATAAAATATTAAAATAATAAATATCAAAATATTAAATCCATATCTTTTACAGTTTTCAAGATGCTGAGAATAGGGTATTACAAACACACAGACAAACAGACAAATGTCAGGTTAAGTTGTCCTTAATAGTCGCTCTGACACGAAAATGAGGGAAAGGGGAATGAAGAATTATAACAGATTAAATTTAAGCTTGAGAAGTTGTATAAATGAGTTCTAAAAAAACTTTTCTCTATATATACCTATACAACAGGTGACGACATCGATAGTACATGTATATACGGTAGTTTAGGGGCAAATGTTACAGAATCGATCAAACAAAAATTTGTTAAGGGCGAGTACATTGATTTAGGTCAGCTTCTATCCAATCCGGTCCCGTTGGATGGTAAGCAAACACTTACAGTCTCGAATGTTCAAATAATGATTGAACTGAAAAGGGCTACAGTTAAAATTACAAATGTACAGCAGTAGACTGATGTATTTTTGATTTTCTCATCAATATATGCCACAGTACACCCTACAAAAATTTTTTGGCTTGCTTAAGTACATCCACGCTGCTCGTCTAGGGGCAGATGCACTGGTATAATGAGAATGAGAATTGCAAAAAATTCAGGTGCTTCATGGGGAATAGTTGATCAGGAGCTTGGGCTAATGTACTTGGTATCATCGTTTACTGGTCCTGTGCAAAAACCTTCAGCAGGGGGCGTTTTTTAAAATGCTTTGACTATAACAATTATGGGAATTGTGTATAACAGCAATGCCATTATTTACATAAATGTTTGAGCTGTAGCGGCCCGCATCCATCAGTTATGTGTACAGGCCCGTCTGCTAAAAATTAATATGCTTCTATAAATTTTTCAGGTCAAAGATACCCTTTACAATACAGGAGCCAGGTACCTTCAGCAAGACCACCCCAGCCTTGAACACGATTCCCTTAGTGTATCACAATCTGCAGGGCCTAGGTTTTTCCCTAATTAAAGTGGAAGTTCTTGCAGCTTATTTACAAATCTCTGATTATGATAGGATTAGTTCAGAAATTTTGCTGAAGGGGTTTTCTTAAGGTTTCAAACTAAAATACAATGGTCTAAGGGTAGCTACTAATTGTTCTAATTTGAAGTCAGCTAGAGATAATGAAATTCTGGAAAAAGTGTTTAAAGATACTAATACTGGAAGAGTTGCAGAACTATTCCATTTAAGACCCTTTCCTAATCTTAGGCTTTCACCTGTAGGTTTAGTACCGAAAAAGGATGGCTCATTTTTAGGTTGATTCATCATTTATCTTATTCTGAAACCTTAAGTGTTAATTCATTTATTGATCCATCTTTCTCCTCGGTCAATTATTCCTCATTAGATGATGCTGTAAGGTTACCAAGTTTGTTGGGTAAGGGGGCCTTGATGGGTAAAATGGACCTCAAGTCTGCATTTAGGTTGCTTCCTGTTCACCCAGCAGATCTTTGAGCTTTTAGGTTTTAAAGTAAATATTTTGTGGTGTCTTGTAGTCTTTTTGAGGATTTTTCATCATATTTGGAATGGATATCGAAGCAAAAGTCTGGACAGAAACCTGTTGTACATTACTTAGATGATTTTTTGTTTCATTTGACTTTTAGGTTTTAAAATAAATATTTTGTGGTGTCTTGTAGTCTTTTTAGCTCACCTGAGCCGAAGGCTCAAGTGAGCTTTTCTGATCAAAATTTGTCCGTTGTCTGTCGTTGTAGTCGTTGTCGTCGTTGTTGTTGTCATCGTCGTCGTAAACTTTTCACATTTTCATCTTCTTCTCAAGAACCACTGGGCCAATTTCAACCAAACTTGGCACAAAGTATCCTTGGGTAAAGGGGATTCAAGTTTGTTCAAATGAAGGGCCACGCCCTTTTCCAAGGGGAGATAATCATGATTTAGAGAAAAATTATTGGCATTTTTAAAAAATCTTCTCCTCAAGAACCACTGGGCCAGGAAAGATGAAACTCATGTGGAATCATCCTCAGGTAGAGTAGATTCAAGTTTGTTCAAGTCATGACCCCCGGGGGTAGGGCGGGACCAAAATGGCCGATCAAAGTTTTACATAGGAATATATAGGAAAAATCTTGAAAAATCTTCCTCTCAAGAACCACTGGGCCAGGAAAGATGAAACTCATGTGGAATCATCCTCAGGTAGTGTAGATTCAAGTTTGTTCAAGTCATGATCCCGGGGGGTAGGGCGGGGCCAAAATGGCCGATCAAAGTTTTACATAGGAATATATAGGAAAATTCTTGAAAAATCTTCTTCTCAAGAACCACTGGGCCAGGAAAGATGAAACTCATGTGGAATCATCCTCAGGTAGTGTTGATTCAAGTTTGTTCAAGTCATGACCCCCGGGGGTAGGGCGGGGCCAAAATGGCCGATCAAAGTTTTACATAGGAATATATAGGAAAAATCTTCTTCTCAAGAACCACTGGGCCAGGAAAAATGAAACTCATGTGGAATCATCCTCAGGTAGAGTAGATTCAAGTTTGTTCAAGTCATGACCCCCGGGGGTAGGGCGGGGCCAAAATGGCCGATCAAAGTTTTACATAGGAATATATAGGAAAAATCTTGAAAAATCTTCTTCTCAAGAACCACTGGGCCAGGAAAGATGAAACTCATGTGGAATCATCCTCAGGTAGTGTAGATTCAAGTTTGTTCAAGTCATGACCCCCGGGGGTAGGGCGAGGCCAGAATGGCCAATCAAAGTTTTACATAGGTATATATAGGAAAAATCTTAAAAAATCTTCTCAAAAACCATTGAAACAGGAAAGATGAAACTCATGTGAAATTATCCTCAGGTAGTGTAGATTCAAGTTCGTTCAAGTCATGACCCCGGGGTATGGGTGTGGCCAAAATGGCCGACCAAAGTTTTACATAGATAT